GTTGGTAAGAATCGGGAGAGACCTTGCAGCCTCTGCATGTGTTTCCTAGCCTGTGTGCAGGCAAAACAAAACTGAACATGGCTCAGGACATTCACAGGCACTATAGGCCACAAATAGCTTTGAGTGACTTGATATAAAACCTCCTGATGACCACTGTGCCCTGCCATCAGTGCAGCATGACAGCACTGGAGGGCCCATGTGCACAAAGGGCTGATAGGGATGCAATATTTTGCAAACAGGAAATATAACAGAAGTGCCCACTGAGTATCTCAGAAGTCCAGTGTCTGCCAGAGGCAAGCACATCTCAGCTTTGCAGACAGATGAGGACAGAGGTGTGAGAGAACCTCCAAACTGGAATGACCAACAGGCTGGCTCTACCTGCTCACCAAGGCACAAAAACTACTGATACCAAACCCACAACATTTCCAGACGACAGCTGCCTTTGAAGGCCTACTACCATAAACAAGAAGAAAACTAAAGAAATAAGAAGCATTGGTTCTTCAGATGCTAGTTACTAATTTCTAGACTACTGAAGGAGTCATTTCCTCCTCTCTATCCAATGAAGAAAATACCAAAAAGCCAAAACCGAAAGTCAGGCTGACCCAATGAAGCAATCAAGAGCAGCATCTGAAGATTTCCAGGGTCTTCTCTAGTATAACTAAAAAATAGATAACAACTTGGAGAACTGGAACCCATGTGTGGACAAAAGCAGCAACATTTTTGTTTTACGAAGAATCAGCACACAGAGTGATAGATAACATTTTACCTTTTGTCTGAAGGCTGCTCATGGCATCCAAAGCCTAAAATAAAATGAAAGCCATTTGGCATAATCAGTGACAGATTAAACACTCTCATCACTATTTCAAAGCTCTGGTTAGGATTACAATTTTTATTCACCTTTTTGGGAACTGATTTTTCTTCCAATGTCTTCTCTTTAGTAGCTAGTGCTGTTTCAGGCTCTGTGACAATCAACCTCAATTTTCCTTCTCCTCCCAAATGCAACTGATGAGACTGTCTCTCAAGAACTCGTTGCTTGACTAAATAAAACCAAAAAAGCCCTGTGAAAATCTAGATGGAAACACAGCTTTACATTGCATGGCACTTTCCCACCATTATGACACTGTCGCGATTTTAGGAATGGTATTCCCCAATTTATTGCTCCCACCGAACCACGCCAGACTTCACCGCTCGCTCACTTCCCTTTCCTTCCCAGTCCTTGCCCCCTCCCCCGCCGTGGCAGGATGGAGATAACTGAAGGCACAAAAACGTTAAGGATTACAGGACGAGATGAAAACTATAGTAGACTATAAAACAGCAATGAAGTGAGAAAAACGAGCAGGAACAGCACCGATAGTGGTAACAGTGTACCAGACAGGTGAACGATTCACGCGCCGCCGTTCACCCGACCCCGCACTGGCAAAACCCGGATAAATCCCTCCCTTTCGTGCCCGCAGCGTATGGCTAAGGTGGGATCGAATGTCCCCAGGGAGCTGGCTGTGCCTCTCCCAGCTCCCGGAAAAGTTAACCTCGCCTTGGCCGGAGCAAGGATATACAGATATACTGTCCCGCAAAATGAAAGAGCTTTAAATTCATAACACTGACGCAGTATGTACAAGGCTTTCTTCCTTAAAAAAACCCAACAAACCAGCAGAGGACATTACTCCTGCGAAAAACCGCCAGAGATACTAAACTCGGCTCTATCACGGGTTTCATGGTGGTACCCGGAGAGTCCCGGTACCGGCCCGCCACATTTTGACCATCTTTCTCCAGACAGTTGGGGACTGTCTTGAGGTGACTTTATGTATGTCCTGAACTTACCAGCCGGGAGAGCCAGCAACTGGGAAGCATGTTAAGGCAAGAAAAGGAAAACGGTATATAGGTATGTGTATAGGTATCTGTGTGTTTCTGCACATATGTGCACGTCTATGTATACATTTAACTCAACTGCAGCTAAATCTTTTCCAGCTTGCTGCATGTTTATAAAAATATGTACATGTTACAGACGTTATATCTTCTATGTGTAACTAATCTAATTGTTACATTAACATAAGATTTATTATTCAGAGTGCAGTTTGGAGAATACTACTGCGCATCGAAATAAATATGTATATATATTCCTCCTAGGATATATTTATTCGCTTACAGCCTTTATGCCAAACACAATCCAGAAGCTAGTACTAAGCACCAAATCTAAGCATATATGTAAGTAAATATCATATTCTGAGTTAGAAGGGACCCACAAAGATAATGGAGTCCGAATTGCACAGGACATCCGCAGGAATCACACCATGTTTACTTACCTACTGTCAATTCTATAATGTACAGTAGAGGATGTGTACGACATAGTAGTAAATGTAGTAGATGTATACGACATATTATATACTACAGCTACTGCACATCACAGACCAGACGGGATATATTATTACATCGTATGCAACAATTAAGTTACTACGTATCTTTTAACTTGCAGAAAGTTTAGACTTGTGAGTTACGAACCCAACACTTCCGCAGGGAGGCCCCACACTAATCCATGTCCCCTGCCGGGTCCCCTTCACCCCGAAACGCCCCGGCCCGGCCGCTCACCCTCGGGGCGGGCGAAGCAGACCATGATATGCCCGGTGTCGGTGCCGGTCCGCAGCTCACACTCGCCGCCGCCCGAGCGCTTCTGGCTCTGGAAGTAGCAGAGCAGCTTCTTCCTGAGCGCGGGCGGCGGCTCGGCGGGGCCCCAGTCCCCCCGCACCAGCACCGGGAAGGAGCACGGCCGCTGCCCCTCCATGGCCGTCCCGCTGTGCTCTGCTCTCCTTTCCCCGCTGCGGTATCGCTTTCGTTTCCCTGCGCGCAGGGCGCGGCTTTTCCTGGCAAGCACGTGCCTATTGTGCCTCACTGTCGCCTCTCGCCATAGCCCTGCCCAGGCGGCTCCTCGGCACCCCCCGGCTCAACTTCCACCTGCGCCTAACGCTCCTCTCCCCCTAGAACATCCAAAGCGCCCCCAGAACATCCAAAGTGCCCCTCTTGCCTTACCAAATGTCCTGCTTGCACCTCTGCCGGGGGCTGGCAGCCCATCTCGCTGTCGTCCCAAGAGAAGTTCTTCCACCCGCTGTGCAAAACGCCAATCCACACACAGTGTAGGCATTTGATTCATCCACAGTTCTGCACAGAGAGGGGAGCTGGGTGGCAAATCCACAAAGCCAGCACGACGACTACACAAACTTTTCACTCTTAGTACATTTTAGCAAAAAAGTGGCATTAATGCTCATTGGCTACACGTTTCTTAGTTCTCTTATTAGTTAGTATTCTATCTGCTGTTGGTTAGTGATTCTCTTGCTTCTCATGCCAATTAGTTCACATGCTCAGTCTTCCTCTTCTTTTGGGTCAGTGGGTTTCTTGGCTCAGTGGTCCATGAGTTGGTGGTCACGATCTCCCCTTGCTGGAATTACCTAAACCCAGTAAGAGCTGATTCAGCTCACTTGCTGAGTTGTCTTTATTAGTTTCTTCCTTATCTTGGGGAGTCTGCCAAATGTCCTTGTGGCCTGTAAATCCTGCATTCTTTGTGCCCACTATCAGTGATAAATCCTTCTTCCCAAGCTTTTTAAATTTCCTCCTAAGTCTCAAATCACTGAAACATGCTGAGCCCTAAACCTTAACAAGTCAATTCTACTAACAAGTAATTTGTTTTCCTAATACTTGGGCATCAGTTAGAGCTTACTTCCTAGCTACCTGTTTATTGGATGAAATCTCCTTTCTTGTTGATTAAACTTGAAAGCGTACAAAGATCAAACATCGAAGAACATGGTTCCTTAAGGAAGTTTTTACATGTTCCACATTTTGCATCATTGCTGACAGAGGAACAAGATCAGGGTGGAACAAGTTGTGTCAGGAGAGATTTAAGTTGGATATCAGGAAAAAGTTCTGAACTCAGAGGGGTGTTTGTGCACTGGAACAGGCTCCCCAGGGATGTGGTCATAGAACCAAGCCTGACAGCATTCAAAAAGCATTTGGACAATGTTCTCAGGCACATGGTGTGACTCTGGGGGATGTCCTGTGCAGGGCCAGTGATTCTTGGTCCCTTTGTACATTCCTGCCTCTGGCCTTTGCCTGTTAGAATAAACCCATTTGGAAAAGCAGCATCTGTCACTCATGGCCTGCACAAAGCCCAGGGTGACAGGTTTCTGCTCCAGGCTTGATGCCCTAGGCACCTGTGATGCAAACACTGGTGAAAAAACACCTTGGTGTCCTCTGCAGCTTCTTGTGGCACTGGGGAAGCTGAGACCTGATGCTGGAGAGAATGGTCAGCCTGGTACCAGTGACCCATCAGCAGCAATGAAGCACCTGGAGCCATCTCCTCTGGCTCCTGACATGCTGATGAACCACTGGCCACACGTATTTGTTACGAGGATTTAGTGTTTATTCACTGTACAAGCAAAACTTAAGAGTTTTGGCCCCCATACCAATACCTTGATTTCCAGCTCTAGGTTAAATTGATTTCAATGAACTTGAGTTCAACAATCAGTAATTTTCAGTGGTTAGAAAACTACTAAAAAGCATAGTAAAAAGCAAAAAAGCACAAAGAGGAGGTTCCAATGCTGTTGCAGAAGGAGTGATGGGATGGGTGCCCGAGGTTTATGGCTCTACTGAGACACTTGCAGATTCATGTTGTTTCACACCACCTTCCCTAGAAAAGGTGTCCCTTGGCCACAGTTACCTTACAGTACTCGTTGCTCATTTGGACACACCAACCCAAGGTAAAATTTTAACAGTAACCTAACTATGTAAAGAAAGCATTGGAAGATTTTTTTCTTAATCATACAACTAAGTAAGTCAAACCCAATACATTCAGAGAAGCCAAGGGCTTTTCAAAGTTGGGAGTGCTGCAAAAGCAGCAGGGTTAGTGTATTAAAAATAAGTCAATCCATGTCTGTAATGTCAAGTTCATTGAAGTTTACTGGTTAAAAACCAATGCTAAATGTTCAAAGAGGTTTAGACAAACACATGCCATTAAATACAATCTGGTTCTTTTATTGAAAACTGCTCAGCATAATTCGTTATGAGATTGTCATAGAGTGTAAGAAGGCATCAGAAATGCAACACTGAATGGTCCACGGCTGCATTATCCCTTCCAATTCCCCACTGGTATTAGGAAGGCCCTAACACTGTGTGAAAGGCTGATACAGTACAAAGGCTCACTAGGTAATCTAAAAGAGGATTGCAGTACAATATTGTGCTTGAGTATTAATACATTCAGCTGCTCCAAGTGTAAACAAACTTCAGGGGGATCATAAATTTCCAGAGATTGCTTAAATCAAGACAGAATTTAATTTGACACAAGTCTTTTTTTTTGACACAAGTTATTTTTTTGTGTGTTTTATTACAGGTATTTCTATCCTACATAAAGGCTGAAAGACATGCAGTTGTGGCTGCAATCAAAATACTTACCTAGTAAAAGTGATAAGGTATTCTGGGTAAGCTTGAATGTCATTAAAAATTATGAACATGGATGGCTGGCTCACGTTATCAGTTGAACTATCAAACAGATCTACAGAGTTGCTAACATTTTTTCGTGCTGGAGTAATTGATCCTTTTTTCCCCAGAGAATATTCTCCAACAAGGACTCGGGCCAAGTACATGTACTTCTTCCCATTCACATTTGGTTTAGAGTAGAGGTCGTGGGCAGAATAGTTGGCGTTAACAGCGAAGTATGTTCCATTCCCGTAGTTTGCAGCTGTAGTCAGAAAAGCAAAGGTTTGTGAGTGTTGCAGTAGCAACAATTCCTTATCTGTCACCTTCAGGGCCTGTGAATCTCAGAACAGATCTACTTTGTGCTTGCAATAGGGAGATACAACAAAATAACTTTGCATACAAGGTAGCTCTATATATGGCATGGCAAATCAGTCCTAGCCCTATACAGGAAAACAAGAGTTGTTTTGAAAGTTACATTACCATGCATTCCAGCATAGCTCCGGTTAAATCCATGGTTGTTAATTAAGGGTAATGACTCCTCACTTGTCCCATGAAACAGAAGCCTCTCATTATTTCTGTCACCATTTTTTTTATCCATTTCACACTTTTTTATTTGGTAGTTTTTCCAGAAATATTGGTTCTGTACCCTTTCAATCTGTGAAGTTTGAAAGTAAGACAGAAAGAAAGAAAGTGGGTAGGTTGCTGTCATGAAAAAAATCAGCATATCAATCATTCAATCTGCTTCCAAGATTCCCCTCCTAGCTCCAATGCACATATACCAGATGATGAAATAAGTCAAATCCTTACAAACTTTGTCATGGCAGATAGCAGAAGCCAGCCCAAACCATGAGACAAACACATCCTGGGAAACAATACAGGAGCTTTTCAAAGGTTTCCAGGCCATAGATGTCTGCTGGGCTTGTACAGCAAATGTGGCTAATGTGGGCAAAAAATGTGCTCTGCTACAGCAAAAACCATTCCTTGGAGCTGAAGAAGTGACTGCTCAAGAGCTGCTCCAAATAGCTCAACTGCAGCTTTAAATTGATTAAAGCTAAATAAAGTTAGTGACAGCCAGAAAGACTTGTCTAGCTTTAGAAATCCTGGGGGAATTTCTTTTTCTGTTATTATCAGTATCCTTCATTATTTGCCATCAAGTTATTTATGCTCAGAAATGATAACTTGCTTTTACCTTTTCAATTTTGAATGACTGACAGGTCTGCAGAAATCTTTCTTGCACATCTTTATACTCTTTTGAGTCTGGTTTTAGTTCCACTATTTTGACTCGCTCATTTTCCATAGGGTCCCACGTTGGAGGGAGCACTATTGACTTCTGATCTGCAGAAGAAACACGATCAATCATATTGACCCAAATCCCCTGCTTAAAATTAAACATGACCTGCTACAAATCCTTCTGGAAATCCATACATCTTGCTTATGGATGACTCAGAATGAGGTATCTCCTTCTATTGCAGAGGATCAGTAGTAAATGGAAGACTGTATGGCTCAAGAACAGAAGTGAGCCGACATCTGGAATGACAATTGCTACAAGAAAACTATTGCTAGTAAACCTGTTAAGAACAGCAGAATGCATTACTCTCTTTTCAAAATATTTTAAATAGCTGCAAGGTTCTTTTATTTCCCAATTTGGTTCCTTTCTACATTCTCCAGAAAAGCACAAAGTTCCTAACATATATTTTCAATATTCTCAGCATTCCCTTCTCCTTTCTCTCACTGGATGCAACCAGGTTTTCACATGGGAACATGTGAAAGATGCTTTTACTTACCTTCAGATTTGTCAATACGTATAATGGGTATCTGTCCTCCTTGGGCATCCACAGCAGTCTTACGGTCCACATTCACTGTGTATATTCTCTCACCAATGGTGACTTCAATAGTTTTCTGCTCTCCCTTGTAAGCATTTTCCAAATCCATATTTGTGAGACTGTTGAAGGGCACATAAGAATCCTTTTCAAAATATTTCCATTCAATTAGATTTTGTAAAAGTTTTGCCTCAGTCTCTTTAGCAGCTTTCACCCTGAGGATCATTTTATGAACAGCTAAAGAAGCCAAGCAGACATCTTTTGTAATCCCTGAAATTTCAACAGAGGTACTCTTCAAATAAAGAAAAATTCTAAATTTCTTTTCTAGGTCGTCCAGTTCTTCCCTCTCTTCTTCACCGAAATGAGAGATATACTCGTCTACAATTTCTGTTTGAGATTGTTCTTTTGAAATTGCATTTCTCAGCCACTTTTCAGCTTCTTCCACTTCTCTTTTATCTTCACCACAAATCTGCACAACAGCCAGGTCAATTTTCTTTTCCAAAACCTTTTTAGTTTTTTCTTTTGGGGAATGTTTCTCAGAACTCCAGAGTGCTACATTGAAATACATAAATATTATCATTAATATTAATCTTTTTTTAGCCAGTCCTAAACAGATTAATCTATAACTATACTTAAGTGACATTTACTTACATTTACCCATGTGATATGCCTTGGAAACAAATGATTTGATTCGTGTTGCAGTAGACTTTTCTCTTTTCTGCATGCTTGTTTGGAACACACTCATCAGATATGGCTGAAAGATGACAACTTTAATAGTTTTCACAGATGTAGCAGAATTCTTTTTTGCAAAGTCAGTTACTGCATCTATCATGTTGTCAGCTACCTCAGCTGGATTGCGGCGCGCCGCTCCTGAAAAGAGTTGCAGATATTTTGCTCTAAAAATGCTAATAACTGTTACAGATGATTAAAACATCTTCAAAAGAACAGCTATGAACATACCCACAATCACCTGGATCACGAACAGGTTGAGAATAACATCATTAAGAAAGGTTTGTGTTTATCAGGAAAAGAAAATTGGGGACCACCTTTCCAGCAAGGGAAAAATGGAAGTTTCATTTTGTTGGCTTGGCAACCAAACAGGTTATGATGTAGATGATATGGCTTGGGTAACTAATAGGCCACAGGCCTGCTGCTCAGTGGCCCAGTAGTCCATTCCTTGCTCAAAATGCAAGCATTGTTTTATTCATGCAAGGGGTTCCCATGTGCATGGGGTGCAGTTCTGGATTCTCTGACTCCAGGGATTTCTACCAAACGAACTTGAAAATAACAAGAGAAAAAAAGGGACAATCTGGGGGTTTTGACAGGTTTGTGTTCCATCAGTATCAACCCTACTTGTGCAGCTGCTGGCTGTTCCATCATCTACTGATTTCAGCAGTGGAGAAGTAGGTCCCTGGCTATTCTCTGATGAGCTGCTCACACATACCAGGCTGCAGGCTCTTCAGTAAGCATAGACATACATTTGAATCCTTGTTAGTAAGGAAGTGCTGGCTTTAGAAAACTCATGCTCTTTCTGTACTAGATCACTGTAATGAATGAAACTTTCATAAGCCTCTAATAACATTTTTAAAGACTGCATATTTCCAAGTATATCTTCATCAAATAATAACCTTTCCAGATAAATCAAACTCATCACTTGAGATCAGCAGAATCACAAAGGCTGACCCCTTTTCAGAAAAGGGAAGCACAGACCTGTTCCAATTGCTGGGAAGGCGACAGAGGTGTACTGCCGCTGTTCACACTCCTGGAGCACCTGGGAAACCAGGGACCTGATATCATCTTGGTGAACAAAATGAATTATATTTTTGCATGGTAGGTTTCCTGCCTGGGTGATGATATATCTGTTGCCAGTTTGCTGGGCTGAAACATAAGTGGGAGAAAATGATCAACAATTATCCCCAATATAGACGTACACTAGTCCTCATTAGGAAATAAGAAATGGTGACAAATATTCCCCAGGATAAGCTTTGTGTCTCCTTCCATAAAGCAAGTAAACCCTTCGCTCAATTTTCACTTCGAAGGCACAAGAACTCAGTTTATTTTTGTAAAATATTTTCCTCCTTTGGCAAATTTAGTGTGTGCCTTAATTGTCAGGTTTGCTCAGTCAACTTGGAGAACTTCATGCAGACTGGCACTCTGTCTTCACACACACACACACACACACACAAAAAGCCATCTACCTGCAGGCCACCTAGCCCAAATTACCCTCTTGGCCTGTCCAAGAGAAGCTTGTTTAACTTGGATCTCTTCCAAGAGATCCTTTGGTTGGTCTTCCAAGCTGACCTCCACACCTGCATATTTCCCTTATTTCTGGTGTTTTAAACCACATACTCATCCATCTTTACTCCTCTTTCATTATAGTTGCAGTCCAACAGCTGTATTTGGCCTACAAATAAATGCTTCTTCTGAGGCAGGAACCCAGCATCACACTACTGAAAAGCAGTCACCCAGAGGATGTGGTACTGAGTTACTAGTTAGGCCAACAGCAAGCACCTTCTCACTGAGAAATAACAAAAGGAATTGCAGCTACGCAGTTGTTTCCAGTGAGAGATGGTTTCTCTATTAACATTTTTGCCAGCATCACCCCTTGCTCATGGCTCTGTTTAATGTTGACTCTGTTTTTATCATGGAAATCTATATTGGAATAAGAGGATGCAATAACTAATAGATTTGGATCTATACGCATACTTAGAAGCTGTCTCCTCCTGAAGATTTTTCTTTTCCTTCCCTCATTATATGTTTTACAAATATCATATGAACTGATTAAAAACTAGTTGCTGTAACACAGTGCATAATACAGATGGAACTACAGTAGTCAGTAGTGAGAAAGTATTCTAAAAGATTCCCTGCCATGCATTAACACCTTTGGAAAGGTCAGAAATGTTGTACCATACCTAGTACAGCACATTCATCTTCAACTGCTTTTCCAGCACCATTCAGAATTGCTCTGGAGACACCTTAAATGAGAAGAGCAACATGAATCCACTGTTACTGCTGCTAAAGTCCCATCTGAGGCAGAACTGTATGCCTCACCACATATAAAATAATTCTGATAACATTATATATTATAAATGAAAAACACTGTACCCAAAATTTTAGCTGTATATGCTTTTCAATTCAAATTGATGTTTTGAGTATCTAACAAGTTTCACTACGGTCAAAACCTCATTGAGGTTTGTCTCCTCTAGTCTGAGAGGTGTTCTATAAAAAGATTATATATATATATATATATATATAATATTAGTTTCCCTTTCTGCTGTCCTGTAACATAGATCAACAAGTGAATAAAGTTTCAGACACTTCCTTGTTGAACTTCTGTACCCTGAGAGCAAAACTGAAACTACACTGTCAAACAAATGAAAATGTTTAAAGCATCGAAGAAAAATAGATTAATAAGTAACATAGATTAACAAGTGAATAAAGCTTCAGACACTTCCTTGTTGAACTTCTGTACCCTGAGAGCAAAACTGAAACTACACTGTCAAACAAATAAAAAGGTTTAAAGCAATGAAGAAAAATACTTGCTCCTTTTCTTTCCCAGCCATTCCAAGCACACATACTTTTTTCACAAATAATATCAGTTAAAATACCTGCTTTGAGATTGAAGGCTCCGTTTGTTATGTTTACAATGGCATCTCCCTCCTCCTTGGTAATATCACCTTCTGCCACCCGGAACACGAGGGAGCCAATTGTCACTTCAAGCACATTGTGTGCTGAGGTTGAAGAGACAGCAGAAAAAACTGCAGGCAAAGAAACAAAGACCCTGAGCAGAAGGGAGTGATGATGTAAAAGATAAGGAACTTTTTCCTAGGTACAATGCCTACAGAGACCACAGTTTGGCTACAGATTCAGCCAGTAAAAAGGATTGCCTGCCATGATAAATGAAAATCATTCCTTCTTACAGGAGTATGTACTCAACCTGCACTGATTCCCATAATTTGTACCATTGCAGGATGGCAGGGAAAATGTGTTTTGCTGCACACCTGGTATGCAGACACTACTTAGTGACATTTTACCATTGCAAAATTCCAATGTAAGAGAGCAGCAAACTTTCCAAGTCTCACTCCCTTGCCCCTGTGTCTCGCATAGTTTGAAGAAGTAGAGAACCTGCCTGAAAAACGTGGAACTTTTTACCCATGTGTTATTTGTAAAATCATAATTAAGTTTACAACATGTAACTCATTTTTCTACAGGCTGCAGTTCCATTAAGATGGATAACACCAAAGACATTTCAGTTTGGTTTTGCTATTCATCTGAACACGTAAAAGATTTAAAGAGTATTTCAAAGAGACCACTTCAACACAGATAACCAGGATCTCACCTGGCTTCCCAGGACAGAGGAAGACACTGACTTGTTCACAGTTTAATCTACTGCTGCAGCAGTAAAAGAAAAAGCACTGCTTATGCCCTTGATACGTTATAGCTTCTGCTGTTCCAATTTGCAGGGGTGCTATCCAGGTAAGGAATCACAGCAACACGTGGTTTTTTAGCATCTTTAACAGTATTTCAGACATAACAGATACTTGGCCTGAAAATACTGCCTTCACAGCAGCCACTCAGACTTCAGGAATGACATGCTCATCAGGCAAGTACCTAAATATCCATAATGAATTAATTTCCTGGAATACTTGAAAAAAAAAATCAGTAGACACACAGCTTCTGTGAATAAACCTTACCCAGGCTCTGGTTAGCGTCATTTGGAGGAGGCTTCTGCCCTTTAACAGCTACAGACCTGTTTTCGAGTTCATCTGAAAATTCCTATAGAATGAAATGACAATCAATCCCTGTAGAAATCTTCACACAGTAGAAATAAAGGTTTGAAAAGCAAAGCTAAAAACATTCAGAAAGAGCTGAATGTAAATTATTTCACATCATCTGCCACGATGCTGATGGCAAGTTGTGACAGATGTTGTTCTCAGAGAGAAAGGCACACAAGGATCACAAATACCTGAATCAAAGCCCTAGTTACCATTCCACAGGGATACAGCAGCAGAAGGCATCCTTACAGTCAGTGAGTAGCTCATACTAGCTCAGCTCTTACAGGTAATGCCACCCTTCTCTATGCACAATAACTCAAGCTTTGACACAGTAGCCTTCAAGTTTAGCCTTCCAAAATTCATTAACTCTTGCACAAAGTACAGAAGGCAACAGATGTAGAAAGATTCATCTGGACATCAATTCACAGTGTGACTGCTCTCTTTTGATGTGAAATGAGTAACTTGAGTGTGGATATAGAAAATTTATGCTAATGGGACACTGAAGAGACGGGCATGGAGAATACTTGTATGTTTCTACTGGAGAAGTTTACCAGCACAGCAATCCTAGAACAATGATTCCTCCTAAAAAAACACCAGCACTCCATTAAAAGCACACCTTTTTTCCAAGGGTGCAGGCACTGAAGCAGGAGTTACAGCAAACTTCTCTGACCTAAAGACTGAAGAATTAGGTGAGTTTATGAGATAAAGAGTAATTACACTTTTGTATGTATTATTCCCAGGAAACAGAAAAGGACAGGAAGGGAGCAGGACTGTACTCGATAGGTGGGTGACCATGGGGGATAGAATAAAAAAGAGAACTTTCAGCACAGATGAGAGAGACTGTCAGCAAACCTTTTCTTTAGTTTAAGAACAAGTGCCATGTGGCTTCTTTGGAGATGATCAGATAGCCAAGTATCTGAGACAGACTCACATATCCCATATTATAATAGAGAGAGGAAACCACAGTAACTCACCTGAATATTAGCTGTGTCTTTTGTGTGCAACAGAAAGTGAACTTCTTCAAGAGAATTTATTCTGTTTTTACTACTGAATTCAAACACTTTGTCAAACAATAATTTAGCAACAACAGATCTTGGGAATTCTAAATTCCCTGTCCCAATTGCTGGAAAAGTAATTGATTTCAAAGACAGTTCTTCAGCAATCTCCAGGCATTTTGTGATTATATCACCCAAGACCTGTAAAGCATAATTATTTTTTCAGTTATTGAAGGTCGTTTTTTCCCAGTATGTGTAATGTAACACTTTCAGCTATCTCTTGGCATTAAAATACAATTAATTCCACACACAAGGAATTCACAAGGAATTTATTAGTCAAAAAGGATTGGCCCACAGTTAAAAAAGAACGAGTCAAACTTTCTCATCTTCTACATTGTCCCCCATTTCAAATGAAAAGTGAACTTTAAACACACTATAAATCCAAGACAAATTCAGGCAAATAAAACCCCTTTTACCTTTGAAGGTGCGTTTTTCTGGGACCACGCAGGTACCACAGCATGAAGCACAACACTGCAAGCCAGATTGTAGCCTTGAGTTTTCAACACAGATCCTTCCTCAGCTCTTCCTCCACCTTCTTTATTCAAGCCTGTCTGAAGCATTGGCCCTGCCCTGCTTAGCAAAGCTTTACCAAGTGGCCCTTTGTCAAGCCGGAGATCTTTGCTAACACTGACGACAACAATGGATGTCTGAAAAACACACAAGCAAAAACTCTACCTTGTAAATATCAAATTTACTAGCTTGTAAATATAAAATTTAAATTTTGCATTGGATAATCAAATACAACCTGCCTGATGGTTTACAAAGTAAATTTTTTGGGACACCAATCAAAGCGAACAAAGTTTTGGAATAAACCAGAAATTATGCTCAATTCTAATATCATGAGCCTGTCCAAAGAAACACAAAACCGAGTTAACAATTAAATTAATTTCAACCTAATGGGAGAAACATAACAATTCTGCATTCCTTTATTCTTTTGACCTCCATTGGAAAAACATTGTGTAAGTTTGCTCTCAAAGAGAGGCTTGCAGACCAAAATCTGAGTTCACTGAGGTAGACAGGGCCTCCCAAGCATGGCTGGTATAGGGGGACAAGCACACACTGACCACAAACAAGACTAGGGGTAATCTAATGAGAAAGAAGTCAGAAAAGCAGTAACTTATGCATGAGAGAAATACAAAGGGCAGTGAACGTCGTGTCAAACCCTCTATTTAACTCCTCAGGAAGAGCCTCTATACACATTTTAACATATATTCTGCCCTGGCCAGCTGGAGGAGCTGCATGTACAAGCTGTGGGAGGCACCCACTCCTCAGAGGTTTTGCAGGAAGGGTCCTGGGCAGAGTTGCTTCCAGTATTGGCGATCCCAGTAAAGTATCTATCAGCCAGCTAACAGAAGTTCAGTGCAGGAGGCAACTAGAAATCAATTAATGGCACTGGTTCTCCACAGGAAGTGCAATACCAACTGCATGTTTCATGCCAGTGTTCACCAATGACATTGGTTTCATGTTCATTAGTTTAAAAAAGACACAAAAGAACCCACTTGATATTTCAATAGGAGATAATTTAGAACACTTACTGTAGCATCTTCAATGCTTCCTATTTCCAGCACGATGTTAAGGCCTTCCTGAGTTGTTATGACTGGGAAGTTCTTAATGCGCTTAGTTTTCCTCTGCTTAGGCTGAGGAGCTGTACTGACATGATGAGGTGATCTGTAGGAAGGCAAAGAATCTGGAAACACTTCTTTAAATGCCTTTCTGAAAGCCTGAATGTTATCCCGTGCAAAACCCACGAGATGAACCTCCTTCAAGCTACTGTTCCCCTCGGATTCTTCCAAGGTCTCCTTGATGGAGGATACAATCGAGTAAGTACACACTTCCAGCGGGAAGCCAAAAATCCCTCCACTTATAGCAGGCAGAGCTATGGAACGATGCTTCCATGTTTCAGCCAGGTGTAGACATTTTTTCACAGTCTTTTTTAACAGCCACGTGCACTTCTGTGATTCCTTCTCGTTCCACCTGGGCCCAACAGCGTGAATGACGTTCTTGCAGGGCAGTTTCCCGGCGCCCGTGATCACTGCGCAGCCGGGCTGCAAATTCCCGAGCTTCCTCACCAGCTCATTGCACTCCTGCTGCAGTGCTGGGCCAGCTGCTCGTGACAGGGCGTCAGCAAGGCCACCAATGTGTCTTAGGTCTTCATTAGATGCATTCACCACAACATCAACAGGATGAGTGCACAAGTCAGCTTCATAAAGTGCTATTACAGTTTCACCCATGGTCACCTGCATACAGAGCTTCCCTCTGTTACTGTGTACTTTCTGTTCTTCCAGTTCCTTTTCTGGCTGCTCTTCCAGTAGGATTAAACACTTGAACATTTGTTTTATATGGGGACCCAAAAAGTGTGCCTGCTCTTTTATATATGCCTTGGCTCCTGGCAAGTCAATTACCACACGCTTAAAATGCAGGCCAGACAAAATTTTCTCAAATAAGCTGACTCCCTCCAGCACTTTTGTCTTTGGCCCACTCAAGGATATAACTTCACAGATTTTCTGTGTGACAAAGTCAACTTTCACACCTTTTTCTTGCAAGGGAGCCCAAACATCGACCTTCTCTTTCTCAAAAAACTTTATGAGTGCCATCGGCTTTCCTTCAATGACCCTTCGCACTTGCGTGTTTTCATCTATAAAGTTGGAAAGTTCCTCAAAGGTTTTTGCTACTGCTTCAGAAAGACCAGCAATCATGATCTGAGCCTCTGCCTGAGTGACAGCTACAGCTCCATTAGAGCAGTTTTCCTTGGCTAGCATCTGCCATTCCTCCTTCTGGAGGACTGACTCATCGTCCAAAGTAATACTTTTGTGATCCAGTTCTTTCTTTATTTCTTCCTCTGCTTTTAGGAGATTTTCAGGATCGCTCCCTCTCAGGATGATCTCTCCTGCACTAAGCTCATAAAAGGCACTAATTTGTTTTGATACAAACAGGCTCTGTGACAGGGTTTCATTATCAATACGCTCTAAAAACTGAAAAATGTAAGGGTGGATATTAATCGTTTTCTTTGCCATTTTGTGTACATGATCAAGTATTTCTCCTTTTACTTTATAAACTTCCTCAGGAACTCCAGATAGGTTAATGCACTTCTGCAAGTAATCATAAGTTATTTGCAGGTCTGGGAACTCCGTACGAAATTTTTCTTCAAGACCAGTAATCTGTAAAATTCCATATTCCCCTGGTTTCACTGTCTTGACTTTCAGTTCAGTTCTTTGCTTTTCTCTTTCAATTTCTCTGGTGGCCTTTTGGATCAGAAGGTTCAGTTCTTGTTCAACCTTCTTCACAATGTCTTTTTCACCTACTAGAACATGTAAATCCTTGGAAATATGTGGGATCATCAGAACTTCATCATGGGGAAAGCTGCTCCTAATGGCTTCCCACACCTCTGTGCTAACTTGACACTGAATTGCTTCATATTTTGATATGCTGTGTGAAAATGCTGTGGAAACTTTTTCTTTCCATGTCTTGGCCAATTGAGATACTGATCTCTTCCGCTCAGAAAAAATAGCTGAAGGATGCAAAGTAACTTTTGGATCTGCACAGTGGGGGTCAGGCCATGCTGGCACACAATTACACTTGGCCATTTCATGATCTATTGCCTCAATTAAGCTACTATCTCCTTGCAAATAACTCCAGATATAGGGATCCAGAGGCAATGTGATTGGATCTGGCTTCTTTATCTGCGGCCCTTCCTTTCCATATAGAGCTGTTTCCAGTGAGGTGTAGTAAGGATAGACAAAGATTGGTGTTTTGTTGAGTGAATGCTTCTTTGCCAGGATATTTGTTACATCTAAAACAAACAAACAACCCCCCAAGTTATAAATGTCAGCACTTAAGATCTTCTCTTTTGGTTATGTTTTTTTTTCATTGTTTGGGGGGTTTTAAACTGTATTTTCTATATAATAATAATGTTTGTTATTTTTAAGAATATTTTTGATTCATTTCCTCCCCTTCCCAGATAGAAAGAATTCAAAATTTTAAAATAGTTATTTATTTTAAATGCCAGAAACTAAGCTGAAGAGAGACAGACAAGCACAACAGCATCCACCTCTGGGAGGAGTGTGCATAATCTCTGTCCTCACTTCTTCTAGATGCTGTACTTGAAGTGCCCAGCTCCATAGCTGTTTGGGCTATTAGTCAGTTCAAACCACAGCTCCTCTGTTTTCCCCCAAAAGACCTTCAACTCCCCTTCATCTCTCCCCTTCACTGCAATGCCTCCAGCTTCTCCCTTATCCTACATTTCTCACAGTCAGTCATCTTTCTGCCATTGACTGGACAACCCACAGCACCTGCTTTCCAGCCAAAAAGCTGCCCAAGGAATTGTCCTGAGACGAGCCAGACAGGACTTGTTGCCATGGGCAGCTGGTGGTCAAGGTGGCAGGTGGGGGGAAGTCCCCTGTTCCCGTGGGGCTGTGAACTCAACCTGCAACCTGAACTCTGTAAGGATCAAGACCTGGGTGAAATAAACTGCCTAGAAAATGAAAACATTCTAAGCCTTATGCCCAGCTGGTCAAAACGGAAGCTTGCCCTCCAGTTAGCATGAGACCTGCAGGCAAAGCACCAGATCTGCCGTTTTACAAGGGCAAAGGAGGCACTTCTCTAGAAAATCCACATTTTGGTCTTTAAACGAGAGGTTCTCAAAGAAATAAGGGCTCTGCATTTCTGCATTACCTTTCTGGTTACCAAATGTAATGATAGCTGCATCTTCATCAGGCAGCAGTTGAACATCTGCCGTTTGTGCACCTCCATACTTCTCATTTTCAAAGTAGATAGTTATGTAGTGACTGGGGGTGTTGGGTGGAATGTTTTCAGCCCGAATACTTTTTGTCTGCTCAAGGCACCGTGCAGTAATGTTTTGTTTCCTTGCTCTGGGGTTTTGATTAAGCTTTTTAGCAAATTCCTCTGCATCTAGAAAGAGAAAGGAGGAGCAAAAAGAAAAGATCAAATGAGGAGCTTGTGTTTCTTCCATTATGTTAGCAGACTACCACTGTGTGCACTGATCAAAGCACTGAGTTACAAAATCAGCTCAGAGCTGCCCACAAAGCTACTTCTTTCCACATATTCAGCATCTGTCACTTACTATTCCCCTCATGATCACAATTGTTGACTACAATGACCACAGCCAGAATCTGCCACTAGTTTACCTACTACTATCACCGGGTTGCTTTAACCCCAGCAGAAAACAAGATCATGTTCATTTTTGGGCTATGGCTATGTACACAACTAATAAGACACAAGTTAACAGTTCAAATTCTCTCCGTTTTATGATAAATACATCCTCATTTTGGCTATTTCCCCCCTGTTATCCTCACAATAAAAGATTGTCAAATCACTTTTTCATCTGTCAAGGAAAAACAATTAAGTTTCCCAAAAGTCTACTTATTTCCTGAAGTCTACACTGAAAATTTGGGACTGGAGCATGACTTGAGAGACAAATCATTTCTAAGGCAGAAAAATCTACACCTTCTCTGAAGGACAGCTTTTAGCAAGGACAGCTTTTACCATCAATCTGTTCTCAGACCAAGCATATCCTTAATTGCTTGCTTTAAGTTATAGTTTGGTTTTAGTCCCACCTGTTGTGTTTACTATCCAAACCAGAGCTAGCTCTCTCTCTGACTTGCAATGGCCTCTATACCTCACAGATAAAGGTCAAGAAATTAACTTTATAGAGTAAATCCTCATTTAAAAGGACACAATATGAGATCAAACCTTAAAAATATGAAAGAAAATACTTCCAGCTTAATATCACTCACACACACGCATGCAAACACGTAGCTAATAAGAAAGAGCTTCAACTCTGACTCCTTCTTACCAGTATTTCCAGTAAAAGTAACTACAGCAGCACATAACTCAGGTATCATTTCCACACTGAAGTCACCATCATCCTCTGACAAGCCACTGACATTCTCTACCAGCATAATTAACATGCAATCTTTTATTGTCTCCTTCACATTTTCCAGCACAACTGCAGTGGGAAGCAGGGATCCTTCAGAGTTCTCCACTTGGCACAATTCCTGGGAAGTCTCCACTTGCCACGGCCTCACAACCAGATCAATTTTATTCAAGTGATGCTTTCTTTGCAAAACTTCTTGGGCATCTACTTCCACAGAAAAACAGAGATGTCACAGCAGAGCAGCATGTTAAACAATAGCAATAATACAGCATTTCTGCTTGGAGCAATGCCCACAGAGAGATCCTGCACCAGCAAAGGCCTGTTTTTAAAGGGGAGCTTAAGCAGTGTAACACCCATAACATACCTTGCTCATCCTGAAAGGTGATGATCACTTGCTCATCTTTTTTGACATAAGCCTCAATGGCTCCCCCACCAGACTTCCTTTTATTTTCAAAGTACATTTCCAATATCTCATCATCTATTTGCTCCCCAAAGGCAGTGGTTACTACTACAGTGGTATTCCTAGAAGTTGCTTTCTCTGCTTCCAATTTCTCACGTGATTCTGAAATAAAAGATCACACCCTAATGCCTTAGGCAAAAGTTAAGAAAAAAACAAGCTTCCCATCTTCCAAGCTTTCACGCTCACAGATCACACTTAAGGTCAGGGAGAAGAGCAGGGTAAGAATCCCAAACAAGTTAAGCATATCACGAGTGGGAGTTGCTGTATCAGCAGTAGGAAGGACATGCTTCAGTTCATCACCAGGCAAGGACAGCAGAAGTAAAAGGTACAAAAGCTTCTCCACCAACACACAATGAGGGGAAACAGTGCTCCCCATTCACAGTTCCAGACACTGCTGTGGGTCACCTGGGGTGTGTATCTGGCGGCTGCCACAGCTGTTCAGGTGTACCTGGGGCACACATCTCCCAGTGCTCTGGCACAGGGTTGTCCCGGCAAGGCTGGCAGCAGCTGGGAATGTCTGGGTAGGGACAGCCTTAGCCAGAACAAAGGCCAGCACCCGCTGCTGTCCCCTAAGGAACTGACCTGTCTGAGGCAGACAGTGAAGTGGGGGCTCTGAAGGGGCTCACAGAAAGGAAAAAATACATTTATTTATTTTAGCCTGGGATCACAATTCCTACACTACATTAGACAAACAACACAAGACAGGAGTGTGACCAGGGCACTGCTGCAGAAGAAGGGTACAAAAAACCAAAGGAGCAAGAATACAATGGTCACCACTGGGTAAGTGACACACTTACCTGTCTTCTCCTGCTGAGTACACACAGGAGTTTCCTTATTCTGGCAGATGGGAAGAGACACCTGGGGTTCATTAACTAGAGATAAATGACAATGGTTTCTCAGTTGCTGAGTACTTCAAGAAGAAAATGGACACGTTAATATACACCCAGGAGCTAACACAGCTTGAGTCAAGTTTCATTTGACACTGTCAGAATCACACACCTCCACAGATTCCTCTTTTTGTATGTTGAATTGGTTATAGAAACACTCTGAGTTCAAGAAGCCTGGGGCATACTGTTAGCCCACAGTCATGCTTCATGAACCACCACGAGCAGGTCCTGCCATGCACTACAGCACTTTCCTCGCACAAAAAACTGCTCTGAACATGAGAAGTGTGTCCGCCCTTGGGAGGGAAGCGCCTTTGAAAAATGAGACTTTTGGAAGAGCCTCTGTCAGGATGTATTTGACTCAGCGTGACTGCTCAACTTCCTAGTTTAGAGCAAGAGGAAATGCAGCTACATTAGAAAACAAAAGACAAAGATAAGATTGACCAAACTGCTTTTCCAGCCTGTGCCTTCAGCCCTCACCTGCACAATCACACCGCTATGCACAAGCAGGTACTTGGAAATAAGAGCTCAGCGAGTCGTGTGTGTATCAGCCCCGTGTATAAGGATTAATTCTGTGTGTACTGATTGTCACATATTGATTAACTGTGTATTGGCCGGATGTGTGTGTCGGTCTGTCCGGTGCCTGGGATGTGGCCCGGGGGCTATACCTTAGGAATTACATCGTGTTTGGGATTCGGGAAGTGAAGGGGAGCGCTGGGGAGGAGAATCAAAGCGCTCCAGCGCCGTTCGCCCGGCCCGGCCGAGCAGGCGGCTCCGCCCGCTTCCCCATCCCCGCTGCCCCGCCGGGCTCCCCAGGCCAGTGCTCGCCAGCCCGGAGCCCCCCGCCGCTCCTGCCCAGCTCCTACCTGGCGCCTGGGTCTCGGCGGCCGGTCCCGCTTCCTGCACGGGAACGAGAGGAGAGCGGTCACCGTGGTGCCTCCCCCGCCCGCCCGGAGCCGCGTCCGCCTCACCTGCGCCGGCCTCACCTGCGCGGGGTCGCCGTCCGCGGGCAGCGCGGTGACCTGCAGCGACAGCCGCCCTCTGGACCCCCACACGAGCTCGTGGACCGGCTGGTGCAGCACCCGCTCCCTCACTGCCAACACAACAGGCACCGGTCAGGGCGATGAGGCCGCCCCCGCCCGCCTGAGCCGCGGGCATCGCCATAAGCGCCCCTCGCCCCGGCCCGGCCGCTCACCCTCGGGGCGGGCGAAGCAGAGGATGATGTGTCCGGTACCGGTCCCGGTGTCGGTGCCGGTCCGCAGCTCACACTCGCCGCCGCCCGAGCGCTTCTGGCTCTGGAAGTAGCAGAGCAGCTTCTTCCTGAGCGCGGGCGGCGGCTCGGCGGGGCCCCAGTCCCCCCGCACTAGAACCGGGAAGGAGCACGGCCGCTGCCCCTCCATGGCCGTCCGACAGCTCCCCTCTTCCCGGCGCTTTCGGTTTCGCTTCTCGGCGGCGAACCCCGCGGTGCCTGGGGCTCCGCCCCGAGCCGGGAACTGGCCGCCTCCTCCGGGCGCATCGGTCCGGCCGGTGGCCCCGGGTCCGGCGCGCCTCCTCACGGGGGCAGGACAGGCTCTCACCGCCCTCGGGGCGCGCCCGGGCTGCGCAGTCCCCTGTGCCTCCACAGAGCCGCACCAGAACCAAGTGTCACAGTGTTTTCAGCCTCTGAACTTATAATGGTTAACCACTGGATAACACTTGCTCTCTCTGCCTTGCCCTTTCAAATGAATTCATGATGCAAAGTAAAATTACCATTTTCATCATTCTTTGCCAGAGAGGCTTCCACAACCAGGAAGGTTGCAATGGGAGTTTACTTCAAACCAACTTGTCAGCTAGCTGAAAAGTTTTCAACTGAGTGCTAAAGACTTGCCCATGCAAAGGTTAGTTTTCAGTTGTGCTGTATATTTCACCCTTGTGGGCAGTAAAATAGCAAATAAATGGAGTTTTCCCCCAGTAACTTCACTGAACGTTCATTGAAGAAATAGATAAATAACCAAATGTCATTAAACATTTTAAGCATCCAGCTAAGCCTACGTATCGTTGGACACTGCTGAGTGACCCATGGAGATGTCTTTGTTTCTTGGTGGGCAACTGATTTATCTGTTATTTCCTAATGCACTGTCCTCCCCACAATTAGCCCAGATATGTGCTTTCCTCCCTTGCTGTAACACTGAAAAAATTACTAACTGTGATTGTAAATTGAGTACTTTTAATCCTAACCTGTACAACTATGATAAGAAAATAAAGGTCTGTACAGCTGGTTAAAGGCTTCAGGAGCTTTCCATGACAGTTACCAGGACTCAGCCTGCAAACTTTGGTACAGACAAAATGGGAGGTGGTGAGTTACCCGATAGGGGTCTGACATCAGTGAACTGGCTTACAGGGACAGAAAGTGAAAGGAGACACCAAAAGTAGCTGAGAAGATTTTATCCTCACCTCTGTCTTGGTCTGGGATAGACTTAATTTTCTTCTTAGTAGCTGGTATGGGGCTGTGTAATGGGGTTAGTATGAGAACAATGTTGACAACACACTGAGGGTTTAGTTGTTGCTAAGGAGTGTTTACCCCAAGGACTTTTCAGTTTCCCATTCTCTGCAAGCAAGCAGATGCACAGGAAGCTGGGAAAGAGCATGGCCAGGACAGGTGACCCAAAGTGGCCAGAGGGATATTCCACACCACAGAGCATCATGCTCAGTACAGAAACTGGGGCCAGTCAGCTGAGGGGGACGATTGCCACTCAGTGACAGGCAGGGCATCAGTCACCGGCTGGTTAACAACTGTACTGTGCATCACTTGTTCCTCGTGGGTTTTATTCTCCCATCTCTCTTATTACAACTATTAGTACTAGTATATTAAATTTTGTTTTAATTAATAAACAGTTCTTATTTCAATGCACAAGGCTGACTTTTCCAATTCTCTGCCCGCCAGGGTTGAGGGGTGAGTGAGTGGCTGTGTGGTGCTGGCTGGGGTTGAAGCACAATGACAGCTTGTTTCCATGTGCAGAAAAGCTCAGTCACTTAGAAACAACTGGAGTGTTGGTATTTTACTGCATGGAAAAGGGAGAGGGGACATGGAATAATGTAAAATACTAAAACAAATACAGTGACACAGAACCAGGGCTGGAAAGACATCCCAACCCACATGGAAACCAAACAGTGCCCACTACTACTACACCTGAAAGCAAAGGCGGCAAAGTTGTACTGCCTATTCACAACGTGGGAATCCTAAATTAAAAAAAAATCAATAGATTTTTAAAAAGGAGGGTGGCATGGAGTCCAAACTGCCCCAAAACACGGTGCTGCAGGGAAGCTCCTAAATGAAAAGAAAAATATACAGCCATATGTATTGCAAAAAGGAGGAAAAACCTGTACCAAAGAACGCAGAAATACGTGGTATTTTTCTATTTTCTTTATTAGTTGTGCTCAGTAGCCTTAGAGAAATGGTTCAAGTCACTAAAAATGATGTCTATGTGTGTGACATACCACCACACAGGTAATTAGCAGGTTATTTATGCACTGCAGAGTAGTTTTATGATACAATTTAAACCTATATTGGATGCAATTGAAAGAATACAGCTTTACAGTTGAGAAAATGAAAAAAAATTAAAGTTGTATTTAAGTTTAAGCCCAATGGCAGGCACAGAACCAGGAGCCCACTATCAGATATGGCCACAGACACTGTTACTTCCTGTTTGGTCGAACGCAGCTCTCAGCATTCAGCACTTCGCAGAGCTAAAAATACAGTAGCATCCATGTACCCACTTGTACATGATCCATGGCTAATTTCACGTGCAAAACCCAAATCACTAAGGCCATTTCTACCATGAAAAGAAGCAAAAGTCCACAGCCTTATCATAGCTAACACTGTCAGAGCTGCATAAACATTTTCCATTAGATGGGTTACATGATTCTAGCCGTGCTGACAGATATCATAACGCAAAGCTAGGAGAAGTGTTTCAGCTAATAAAAGCCAGTAGTGGATTTAAAGGTTTTGTAAAGCAGACTGGAGACTTGTGGGGGAAAGTGCAGATCAGATTTGCCAGTAAAGCAAGATCTACAAAGTGCAAACAGTACTGATACTGTATTCAAAAGAACCAAATTCTGTAAAGGCTACATATATAGGGAAGTAAATGATTTGTGAAAAGAACATACATTGTTTGATGAGAAAAGATTACTTCTCAGCTAACTATGAAATAGAAACAATTTAAACAAATCATTTAAATCAGTTAAACAAAGTAACTTCCCTCAGAGCTTGAACAATACATTAACTGCTGTATGGTCAGTCATTATACTTAAAAGTTGAGAGTTGATAGATTTCCTTATTCAATTCCTTTTGCTTTCAATTCTGATCGAACACGCTGCAGATAAGAAGAATCCGGGTAACCAAACCTAGGAGAAGAAGAGAAGAATTGTTTGGGCTATTTCTGCAATGAAGCACTTGACAATTCTAGAGAACTATCTCATCAAAATCTCTATAGAAATCTCTTTATGAATTTTATGCAGTTCTTGCCCTAGAGAGGAAAAAAACAGACCCATATTGCCAGTCACAGAAGTGATACAGACAGCATAAAGCTACAAACTTAAGGAGCTACAAACTTAAGGAGATACTACATTTTGTTGTCCAAATTGACAAGAAGAACTTGATTTTCAAAGCTGCCTGGGATCTCACTGCAAAATGATAGGGTGTTTGCGTATATATCTTTTTAAAAAGAAAATCAGACCTGAAGCATACCCAAGTGAGCATTCAAATTAGAAACATAATGCCACCTCTGGACTTGAAGTAGTGCAACACTACAAATGCAAATGAAGCAAGTAATAAACAAGAGAGAATTTGCAGAGTGGAGGATAAAGTAAAACTGATACTTTTTGCTCTTTTAATGATCCTAGCCCAGTTAGGAGGATCTGGACACAAGAACACAAGGACACAAAGGACATAAGCCTTTAGGGCTTGCAGGACACCACCCACCGCTTAGAGCCTGCATCAAGCTTGGAAGGTCCAAGACTCCCTCTTGTCTCTACTGCTTGCAGCTCACACTCAGTACTGGTGATTGCTCCTTTCATTTAAATGCAACAAGTCCTCAAGAAATACTGGATAGGGCTGTCATCTATTCAGAAAATCCTCTGACAGCTTGAACAGCCAAAATGGGATAACCTTTTTTATGGATGGGGCTGGCACTGTGTCCTGTGCTCTGACGCACTAGGTGCTCCACAACTCATGGTTCCTAGCATCTAAAAGGGCATGACCATATTTGTACTACAATCTCACTTCCTGCTGTAAGCTCTGTTAAGTAGAATTTCAAATCATGTTTTAGAAAGTCTGAGTGCCATCTTTACCGGGATCATAATGGACCAGCACCTCCTGGTGCAGACCAGCAGGTAACATGAGAAGCACAGATCAGGAGTCCAACCTTAGATGCCATCAAGAGCTTGTTCTCCCATAGGTTCTAATCAAAACAGTTATTAAGTGCTTTACAAACTCACTGGTGAATGAGTAGCCTGAGGGGCAGCAGAACACTAAGCTCATCCTTGTTCCAACTGTCCAAACAGGGGAAGGTGATTAATGTCTGGATCCATAGGGCATTACAGAATCACTCTAGTTTGTCTGTTAGTGACAAAATCTGAAAGCTCTAAATGTGGAATATATTCAAGGCAGCCTTCCTGACACATCTGAGGAACAACAGTATTGCACAAGGAGAAGTCTACTTACTGGGTAGGTCCTCCGGTCATAGAAGTTTTGTGGTGAATATCGTTCCACGTGATAACACTTTGTGCACCAGTAGTACGTGACTGCCCCACTGTGAAAATCAATTTTTGCTTAAAGGCCCTTTTGAGGAGCTGCAGAATTTCTCGTCCCTCTTTATTGTCAGGTAAATATGCTGTTCGGCGAGCTGGCCTATAATACAGCCCTGGGTTTGGATGGCTGCTCTGTTTTGTAGAAAAACAAAACAAAACCACATTGTATATCATAAATCAATCAGAAGGACATAGCATGACTGATAACTGATTCTGAGATTTTTTCTCTCTAAATACTTTCTTTCACACAAATTTCATTCACACTTTCTTGTTATCACTCATGCATCCATTGTTATTTTTGTTTCTCCCTTTTTTCTCTCCCAAATGCATGGTGCTGCACCTGTGACTTTTTAATTTACCACATTCTCAGTCCCTGTCACGAATCCAAGCACGTAACATAAGGAAATTTCTCACCTGGAAAGCTCTCACCAAGCCAGCCCACTATTTATTTTTGTCCATTGGTGTCCACAGCAAAGAGAATGCCCCAGAAATGCTCATTATACTTGCAAAACTTTGCTTATATGATATTACTGCATACATTTCAGTTCAGTTATTCCCAATATACAAATTAAAGACAGGTACCTGTGCCCTGATGCATATAAAATGGAGGCTGACCATCTGACCATTTCATTCCTACTGTACTTACTTAATTGCACCCGAAAATATTGAATTAAACATTTGCAGATATGTACAAAACAAAGAAATATCTTGCCTGAATATGCATAAAAATAATGGGAAAATAGATAATTTTATATTCAATATTTTATATTTATACTTTGTTGTGGGAAAAATATCTTCAAGAAATATTTAAGTATACTTACAGTTTGGACACCACCCTTCATATCATAGTTAATTTGAATAGTGCCACAATTGGGATAACCAGGAAGAGAGAAACTCAATGTTTCAGTTGACATTGTTCCCTCTGGTTGGTTTCCTGTCATGACTCCACAGACAGAATTACAAACAGGACAAGCTTGTTTATAAGTCATGGCTCTGTCAATGCAAGTTTTGCAAAATGCATGTTTGCACTTCTCTAGTGTTTCTTTATTTTTAATTCTGTCCATGCAAATTGGACACTTATCTTCTTCGTTTTCTTCTGTCTTTGCCTGAGTTTTTCCTTCAGAAGAAAGATTATTCTTTTGCCTAACACCGGACTTCTTAGATGCTCCTGTAGCTTCTTGAGAGCTGATACTAGAGGACAGTGGTGCCCTATTTTTAGTTTGTGTTGAGTCTTCAATGTTAAGAAGGCCCTTCATGTACTTTTCAGCAGAATAAAGATGGTCTGGTAAACCACTTATGATTAACTTATCTTCATTCTTCTGAAGTTTTACATTAAAATCCTCAAATTTCTTAGCATTAAGTAGCTTATTTAAAATTTTCTTCTGATCTTCTGAAAGCTTCATGCTGATGATTTTTTTTTTTAACATTGCAGAAGCACTCTGATATGCATTGATGAAACTTTCAGTAGCATGTGATGACATATCAGAAGTTTTGGGTTTAGGCCTAAATATTATGACCTTCTGGCCATATGAATCCTCTTTTATTTCTACCAATGTATCAAATTTGTGATTTATGTTTTCAATTTCTGTGCTTAACACGGTTTCCAACAATTTAAATACAGAAGCATCTACTTCAATTCCATTCCTGTGTTTGTACCATTCAGACAATATTTTCATATTCTTTTCAGCTTGGTTGTTCTCACCTTCCTCTGCTAGAAATTTTCGGGCAGCTAAAACCTCACTCCCTGGACCACGGAGTAGCAACTGATTCCCTTCCTCTTTAACAAGAAGATTTCTAAACCTTCCATTTAATTTCATTATTGTCTCTTTTAATCTGTAACTGTTTGTTATGGGAACTTTTTCCTGTGTCAGATCTTTTGTAGTTTCCTGAAAAGTTTTGATAAAAAAATCACTAGCTTTTTGTAACAATGCAGGACTTTCATCAGAAGAGATGTATATAAATGTGTTATCCTCGTCATGACCTTTAATTCTTAGACATGCTCCAAACCTTTTGTATAGTTCTTCGATTTCTTCTTTGCGGGTATGACTAAAATACTCATAGAGAGCTGTCACAACTGTAAACTCATTCATTTCTTCACTATTCAGGCCATTTTCATCTTTCAAACCATTCTTACATTCAGAATGTGAAAAATCATGGTTTGGGTCTTTGCCTGCAAGGATATCCTCAAAGTAGTGATAAGCTTTTTCAATATCTGTAAAATCTCCTGTCAATTTCTCAGAGCCATCCATGCCAGGGTTTCCTTCTCTCTTTAAGTTTGGACACATAATGGTAATTTTCTCCCTTTGGTCTTCAGTGAACATACTGGTATTCAAAGTAGCAGATACTGTAAGAAATATCTGAAGAAAAGACAAAAATACATCGACATTAGTTTTCTCTAAGGTTCTCTGCTTGCTACTTCTGTATTTTCAGCAAGGAGAAGCTCTGTCCATCCCAATAGTGCCAGATTATGACAAACAAGTTTGCACACAGTATTTATTTTATGTCATGTCTACTAACAGTACAAACAGGCAAATAACACAATCTGTTTCTAAGTCAGCAGCAAAAACGAAATGTCTTAATATCACCAGCAATGCAGGAGGAAAGACAGTAACTCTGCTACTGCTACTTAGGCTGAGACTGTGCACTCTGTGCTCCCGATTTCTGACAACAGGGTTAGCATAACTAAAGGCAGGCAACTTCTGTGGCTGAGCTCATTATGTGTTAGGCCCTTTTCCCATCGTTACCAGGCCCTAAAAGTCCTACAGACCAAGTAGACAAAGCAAACAGATTTTTTCTCTCCCTCCCTACCATCCTCAAGGTTTCTGGGCACCATGCTGACTTAGGTGCTCTCCTTACTGGCCTTGAAGGTCCCAGGTACCGTGCCAACCAGGTGCTGTTGACCCCACCACAGAGCAGGCAGATTTAATGGCACTGCCTACAAGATCAACCAGTCACAAGTCCTAACTGGGAATTTGGACCACAGCTGTGGCTGGACAGTGAAACCCATGGGTCCCCTGGTGGCCAGGGAGACCCCCCACTGCTCTCCACTTCCTTTGAGGAATGAATGGATGACACATAAGCTTTTATGTGTTTTCAAGCCTAGATTGTGATTGTTCTATCAATACAGCAACCCAAGTATTAAGATTTGACATGATTTGCAGAGGGTCCAGGTGACTAGAAACCATAAGCTAAGCTGTGCTACCAAACATAGTGCTTACACTACTTATAAAACTATCCTACACTGATTCTGCTTGTAGAAATCCTGTGGTATTCTGATCATTAACTCTACGCTACGCTAATGATAAAGCCCTTTTTAAAAAGCAAAAAGCTTTAATTTTAACTATATCTTAGTGCTATCGTTATTCTGCCAAGGATCCCCAAAAGAATCTGCCCCTTAGAGTCAGGTTACATAGATACAACAGGTTTTAACACGACCTATAAGTTATATTTCATTGTTCTTATTAATATCAGACTTTCCACTTTTCCCTTGTTATCTTTCTTTAAAACTTTCCCAAAAGTCATGCTTTAATAACTCGAAGAGTTAGGGCAGAAAAGAAGATTCTGAAAAATAATAACGAACTTGTTCACTTCTTTACTTTACACAGACAGAAGGATAGGGAAATTTGCAGTATAGATGCCAGGTAAACACTACATTAGTACATGCTATACCTCAAAAGCTACATCTATGTTACGACGAAAAACAGAATAAAACTCTCTGAGCCAGATATCAGTGTCTTGGTAGAGCCACATCCAGACCATGTAGACCATGTAGCCCTATCCCATGTTCCTAAACACAGCTGATCTTTTCTGTGTAACTTTTAGTTCAAAGTGTCTGAAATCACGTTTGCAGTGCTACATCACATCACAGTAGACTTTTTTAATGCTGAGGTAAGGAATAGAGATAATTAGAGTTGCCTCAAGGTGCAAACCATGTTGAAAGTGTTAGAGGTCTGTGGAAAAGATCCAAATCTCATACAATTCTTCTGCCATTGAGGAGCACTCTTGGTGCATGCTACTCTATGAAACCTGCCAGAGTGCTGCTTTGGGGAATAGTGGTTGGCACATGCCAGAATCAGGCTGGAAAACACGCTGCCTGTAAACATGTGTAGATTGATCTCTGGTCCGGCACTCAAATGTCACTCCTTGCCCCCATTTTATTGACTAAGATCACATAACTGACATTTTTTTGCCACGAAATATTGAGGTACAACATAAAGGACTCATGGAACTGCAAGCAGGGCAGGTTGTGACACTGCTCTTCCAGATGTACCTTTTTGGTAAGGTCTTCCTTTGCTGTGGCCCCATGGCCACCGTTGTCCTGCTGCTCCTGCTGGGGCAGGGCAGGGCTGGCAGCGATGTCGCTGGAGCTGGCAGAAGCCTGTGCTGTCACCCGGCTCTGGCCCGGGTCCCCTTCTCTCCGCAGGATGACTATCTCCACGCATTTTCCAGCCAGTTCCAAGGTGTGTTTCGTGCGGGACTCCACACTCTTCCTGTCTGTGGTAATTTCAGAATGACAGAATCACAGAACTGTTATGGGTGGAAGGAACCTCTGGAGATCATCCCGCCCAATCCCAGTGCCAAGGCAGGGTCACCTGGAATGTCTCCAGAGACCGAGACTCCACGACCTTCCTGAGTAGCCTATTCCACTGCTCTGCCACCCTAGATATAAAGAAATTCTTCCTCATGTTAAGGTGAAACTTCTTGTGTTTTAGTTTATGCCCTCTGCTCCTTGTCCTGTCGCTGGCTACCACCGAATCTGGCACGCCTTGGAGATATTTTTATGCACTAATGAGATCCCCTCTGAATTTGGACAAAGGCACGTAAGGCTGATAAAGCGACCTGAAAACGTGGTAGCTACCAGCGGCCCTAGAGCCGCCTGCCCAGGGACTCCCAGCGGTGCCTCGGCGGCCATTTCCAGCCCCCTCACAGCCGCCACCCCGTCCCGCCAGGCCCGTACCTTGCTCCTTAAAGAACTCTACCCAGTAGGTGCCGGGCTTGGGGCCGGCGCGCACGTTGCACTCGCCGCCCCCCGACCGCTTTCCCGACTGGAAGTACGACTGGAGTTTGAGGTTCACCTTCTCTCCGGCGGCGGGCGCCGGGCTGAGCCGCACCAGCAGCGGCGCCGCCGCCATGATCCCGCTCCGCCGCCCGCTTTCGCTTTCGCTCCCGCTCCGCCGCCCGCTTTCGCTTTCGTTTCCCGCTCCGGCCGCGGCTCACCGCCCCGGACCGCGCTTCAGCTCCGAGCGCTGAGGATCCGCCTCGAGCCGGCTCATGGGGGGCTTGCAGGTAGCGGAGCGGGGCTGGGGGGCAGGGGCGGCGGCAGCAGCCTCGGGGGCTGCGGGTGCGGCGGAGACTCCCGGCGGGATTGAGGGGAACAGAACAGTCCCGTGCTCCGGCCTGGCGCTCGGGAGTGGCTCTGCCCGGCCTCTCCCTCCTGCCAGCTCGCCCGAGCCAGAGGAAGCTGTGGGCAACTTCGCCTACAGAGCTCCCGCGGCTCCCAGCAGCATTTCACAAACCAGAAAACTTGGTACGGATGTTTGAAAAGTTGATGCTGCCGGTTTGATTTGCAACAGAATCTCTCCTGTAGGAAGACAGCCCACGTACTTTGTTGCTTGTAACATTTACTTTCTCTTTTCCCTTTTCTCTCTTTTTATTACAAGAGTTTCCTTTCAGCTTTCTTCGGAGAGGAGCCCGCTTTAGGTAAGCCTCTCATTTAGCTTGGCCATCTGCGAAGTGTGTACTTGTATGTAAGTCGAAAACTGCCACCAAGCTGGAAAACAAAAGTCAAAAGAAACCTGAAAGTCATAATTAATGTGAAATAGATACAGTTATGAATCAGCATTATAATTAATTACTTCAACAGGCCTTGCCTTCATTTCTCTTTTAAAAGCAAGAGCTCAGAAGTGTTTTGATGAGTCGGCATGTATAAATGCAAAACGTCAGACTTTTTACAAGCAGGTAGCATAGCCTGGAGGAAAGTTCTACGAAACTCACAGACATTGATTCAAACTAATTAACATAACTACTTCATTTTAGTACTGCTGACATCTGCCAGGAGAGGGCTGTATAGCCGTAGTAATAATGTAAAAATTGTTCCTTAAAAAAAAGTGGTTAAAAATCCTTTCTGAATTAATATAGATTTCCATACAAAGAAGGAACTTACTAGTGGGCTTTAAGTGCAAACCAAATGAGAATCACAGAATCAAAACTCAGTATAAGATCTTTGTGGCACAGTTAAATGAACCTTCTTGGGTTTTCTAAACCTCTGAAAAGGGGAGAGTAAAGATTAGAGTGTATTAAAAAATATTGTTTAGCAATGACAGTAGGATAAAATTGAGAGCTATAAACCACACTTCTAGATTAAAAAATAAATGTTTTGATAGTAATAACTTCTATTTCACTTTATATTCTGTATCCTAGGGTCAAGCATGGTAATGGATGAGGTCAATTTGATGATCCCCATCAGTAAAGATGCCTATGAAGCTCTTAAGAGAAGAGACAACTGTCTAAATTACCTTGTTTCCAAGAAGTTTGCTTGTACGTTGGCCTTCAGAAAAGCAAAAAAAAGCACTGTTGAAGTATACAGGAAAAAAGTAAGGTTGGGCATTGACATTTGTGTTTATAAGGATGATCTCACAAGACACAAGGTCGATGCTGTGGTGAACGCAGCCAATGAGTATCTTGATCATGGAGGAGGTCTTGCTCTTGCCCTTGTAAAAACTGGAGGGCCAGAAATAAAAGAGCAAAGCGAGCTTTTTATTCAAATAAATGGGAAAGTCGAAGTTGGCAATATAGCAGTGACAGGTGGAGGGAAGCTTCCTTGTAAGGAAATTATTCATGTAGTTGGTCCAAAGTGGAATCCTTATGAAAAGGATAGATGTTGTTACCTACTTCGGGAAGCTATTTGGAATGTTCTGCGATATGTTAGTGCTCCATTGAAAGCTTTACAGTCTGTGGCTATCCCAGCAGTGAGTTCAGGTATCTATGCCTTCCCAGTTGACTTGTGTTCTCAAGTGATTGTAATGGCTGTAAGGGAATTTGTTGAGGCAAGTCCACCAAGCTGTCTCAGGGAAATCCGCCTGGTGAACATTGAAGAGTCTACAGTTGCAGAAATAAAGAAGGCCTGTGAAAAGTTCCTGGGTGATACCAGTTCAGTACTTGAGGACATGGTCTCAGCTTCAGCGAGTCAGTTTCCAGCTCACCTCAAATGTGGGAACATGCGCTTGCGCATCATAAAACAACACGCTGAAAATCTGAAGGTAAGTCTGTCCTGTAGTTTGTGGAATATGGTGTTTCCTCCAAGTCTTCACAGGATTTGGAGCCCAAGAGTTCAGAACACATTTTGTATCAGTCCACTAAATGGTTTTCTTCTCAGTTTGATGAGAATTTACAAATAGCAATTAAATCATAGTAGCAAGGAGTTGTTTTTTGTCTAAATGGATATTGAACTTTAGAATGTTTTTATTTCATTTTTGTATACATGCTGTTATAATAGGAAGCACCTAAAGATTGAATGATTTAATAATACATCTCTATGTTAAGGTTTATCTTCTTATTATGTAGGAATTCACACTTTATCCTGCACTCCATAGAAGTATTCTCTTACTTTCTGCTTTGCTTTTTTTCCTATAATTTATGTTCTCATAACTGCATTACTGGAATTATTCAGCAAACACTGACACAGCAGAAAGTAACTTACACAGATGTGCACCTTGCCTTTAAATAACGCATTACTTAAATTGAAGGAAAATTCAAGCAGCTGATCTGTGGCAGTCAGGCCTTTGTACAGGAATTGTGCTTAGAAAAAATGCTGTCTATAATAGCAAAGCTTGCAAATAGTCAGTTTGAAGTACACTGGATTTTGCACTCTTTCCTTGCAGAATACAGCCATTGTTAACCCCCTGAATGCAAACGGTGAGCCTTCCTCTCAATCATCAAGACGACTGCTAGAAAAAGAGGGTCCAGCTTTTCAGAAGGAACTTAAGCAGCATCTTAAATATCCAACACTTTTTAAGGACCCCTTAGTAACCAAAAGGCGTGAGCTGCCCCCTACATTTGTACTGTACGTGACATTGAAATGCCAGCATCCGGTGTTACAGTGTGAGGTGATGATCACTTATTTCGGATTTTAATGGATTTTCATGTTGGGTGATGTGAGGACTGAAAGGTTTTGTTTTTCCTGCAGGAATTGAAGGATGCAGTGAAAAGATGTCTGGGTCATTTTCAGGAACCCTCATCTCCCTCAGTTTCTTTTCCAGTTAAATGGTCACCAGTGCTGCCTGTTGACATCGTGGCAGAGACCATGATTGAAGCAGTTTTAAATTTTGCCAGGGAACATCCTACAAAGAAGAGAGAAGTGCAGTTTGTCATTTGCCCAGATGACGCTGATGCCTATGAGGTAACAAATTTGTTGTTAAGTACTCATAAGGAAAACACAAAACTGTAAAAATATTTTCATAGATGACTAAAAATTAAGATCGTCTATTCTGTACCTAACAACAACTGTGAGCAGCGGGTCTCTTTATGAAACTGTTACTCTCATTAACAGATACTCAATCTTTGCAAATACTTACTTTCACTAAACTAGAAGTCTTCAGCCTGTAGTCTGATATAAAGGGGAGAGAACTTTAAAATTCTCATGTCTGTCAGTGAATGTATAAGAAACAGTCTACTCTTAGCTTATTAAGGAACAAACATTCCTCCTCAGGAAATATTTTCAGTCAGTTTTGGGGTTTTTTATGGAGCTCCTAAGGCAAAACACTATCAACAGATTATATAAGCTAACATAATAGAAGGATTTCAAGTAGACTGGCAGGAGACTAGTCTGGATTTTAAAACTGAGTAAGGATGCATCAGCATTAAACTGCAAGTAATGAACATCTTTATCTTATGTGATTGCATGAGATAATGCCACAAGCACATGGAGTTGGTAAAGGTGACACTCAGTGTGTAAAATGTGTTACCTTAGGAGATGCAGAAGAACAGGAATGCGTTTGATACTGTCAGGAATAACATTTTGGGAAAAGCTGACTAATGCCAGTGTTAACAATTCCAGAATGAGGGGCGGGGGTGTAAACTGCTTGTCTAACAGAGTTTTGAAAAGATTAATTGCATATTTGATAAGAGATTGCAAACTGCTCCTAAACTTTTATCTTTCAAGGTTGTCCTGAGAAAATTGTACTCAGCAAAATACAAACTGGAAAACAGAAGTGATCCTTTGAGTAAGTAATGGACAGAAGGGGCATTTCCAGTGAATGTGAGTACTTCTAATCTGAGAATCTGTAATCACCTTCCTTTAAAATAGGGAACTTAGTATTTACATGTGTCTTGGGGAGGGGAGGAAGCAAAAACTCGTGAGCACTTTGTATTTTTATATTTATGGAAGTGGAACTGTGCAATCCCTTTTAAGACTTAAAACCCATTGTCATTGCCTAACTTGCTGGAAATCTGTGAAAGGCAGGTAAGTTCTCCATATGTGTGTGTGTATCCTGGAAACCTTACCTCATTGTACCTAATCTCTTTTTTGAGCATACCATGTGTTTCTTGCACAGCTGGGGTTACAATTAGGAATTTGTGTCAGCCCTTGGAAGCTCCTCACTCTTCCAATGCACTTGTATTAAAAAAAATATCTTTCAGGTACAGAGTCAGGCAGTCAGACTGCAAAAGAGACTGCAAGCAGTGAACCCGTGATTGAACTTAGAGGGAGCACACCCACAGCACTGGGAGCAGCAGAATCATGGCTCCAAAATGTAGTGCAAATTCAGGGAGGTCGCCATGCTGTTATTGAAAACAACTACATTTTTTGCCTTGGTAAAGAGGAGTTTGCAGAACTCTCTCTCAAGCAACCTTCTAGTGTATCTGTGTCAGAAGAAGTGAGAGATGGACAAGCAGTACTGAAATTGCAGGGGCCTCCTGATGTTTTGATTGATGTGGTGCTTGCAACTGAAGAATTACTGCTTCGTATGCAAGAGAAGACTACAGCTGAGAAAGAGAAACTGCTCTACTCAATGTGTATGTAAAGTAAATAGTGCCTAAACATTAATTAAGTAAATAAGTGCCTACACAAGGTCCAGTGTGAAGCAATGTATATCTCTGTATTGCTGAGAGTGGACAGACAGACATTCAGTTCACACACACAATACTGAGTATTGTTTTAATTACTGATATCCCTGTACTTTTGTCATGTGGGCCCTTGGAAGACCATTTGTTAGCTGTGGTAACTCACCTGGCAGTATTCCCAGTAGGGCACAGCTTATACAGGGGCTGGCCATGATGTATATGCAGCTGTAGTGGAGCTCCCTCCAGGATGCCTTCAATTTAAAGCCTGGCCACTGGAGATTTACAAAATTTGCACTTAATTAACACATGCTTTTGCTGAGCTCTTGCTGGCTACAGCTGGACCACTGTTGCAGGGCTCAGCAGTGGACTTGTTCTGCAGAGTTCTTGGCTGTCATGAACAATTGATAAAACTAGTGGCATTACACAAAGCTACTGAGTGATCAATTTTAATTCATGTTTGGATAGTCATTCAATATAGACACCTCTATATGAAAGCTCAGCTGTGGCGAGGTGCAATGGAGAACATAAATTGCTTTTCTTTGGTTTCTTCTCTCCCTGGTTTCTTTATAATAAATGCAGAAAAATAGAATACATTTATATATATTTATATATATATACTAGTCCCTCTCAATATTAGCCTCTGTCATTACTTCAGAGAATACCTAACATTCTTTGTTCTTAACTAAACCACCAACTAAAGTAGTGGATCTGCCTCCCTTACCTTTGCTTCAGACATTATGATATATGAAAATTTTGCTCCCTTATTCATATCCAGGCCTACCAGAAGCAGACCAGCTTTCAGAAGGAGACATCCACATTTCACTGGTAGAATGTCACCTCCAGGAGTTTAAAGACAGACAGAAAGAGTTTGAAAAAGCTGGACTTCGTATTCTCAGGGTAAAGAGGATACTCATGGAAAAACTGAATCTCAGCTCATATATTTGAACTAACATATTTATTGTTAAAAAATAACATAAGTAAGTAATAAGTAAGCTTAAAAAATTCAGATGAACTATTTCAATGCATTGCTTTTAAAAATTAAGATCAGATCAACTTCATCCTTAAAACAGATCCAGTCTTTAATCCTAATGAAAAGTATTTTAAACATAATACAAATAATCACTTAAAAAATGATTAAATTCTGAGAAGTCTTTTTAATTGTACTGTATGTTCTCCCTCACACTTCATGCTTCAAATGCTCCTTTATAAGACTAGAGAAATACAAGATTGGTAGGCTAAATTAAGTACAATATTCCAGGACACTATTTCAGTGTCTGTTTTCTTTTTGTGAGCTTGACACCAAAAATTACCACCTGAATTTGCCAGAGTTCTGATCTGATTATGTGTTAAAGCAGGAATCATACTTGAGTATCACTACTTTATTGAACAGGAGGTGTACTCAATCTCTTCAGCACAACTCAAGTACTGGAAGTCAGTACACCAGGAAATATTCCCAGTGATTTCAATGGGAGGCATGGGATAGTGGTATGGTTCTTTTCTTTGGATCACTTGCACGCTTCAGGTACTCTGTCCACTATGTGGTCAATGCATATAGGCTAAAGCAAAGGTTCTTGCATTGAAGAACAGAGTCTGAATGAAAGCACTTATGGATTTCATAATTGATCTCCATTTGCTTATGCAGCGCTGTTATTTATGTTACAGATTGAAAAGGTACATAATCCAGTTCTATCTGCTGCATTCCAACAAATGAAAAAAAGTGTAGATGGTAGCTCCAAAACAACTAACAGGTTGTACCAGGATGTTCCTGCTGACTTCTGTTCCTCAGTTTGCCAAACTGGATTTCACAGGATGTATTCTCCACCAAAAGGTAGTAACTTGCTTTGGCATCTTTAATCAAAATGGACAGTGACTGACTACTAAAGTCAGGTTAAAATTAGAAAAAATGGCATTCCTAAACAAGAACTCTTTCTTACGTGTATTTATATTTGTGTGAACTTACTTTATTATATACAGTAAGGTTTCCCTTCCTGATACTGTAGAGCCAGCAAGGCTCTACGAAGACAAGCCTGAATTCAAGCCTAGCCCAAACACTGGACAGAATTATTAGTATCCACATAATTCCATGTCCAAGTTTCATTTTGTTGCATCACTGTAAAGGATGACCTTATGTAGCTGCTGCAGACATGCATTCAGCAGCTTGTTCAAGGGTATCACAGAACACTGAGGCTGGAAGGGGCTTCTGAGGCCTCTGCTCAGATCAAGTGTGGTTAGAGACAGCAGATAATCTCATTGCTTGGGCTGCCATTCAGAGTAAAGTACACTAGGAGGGAAAGAATAAGCATTTAGTAGCCTCATCCTGCAAGTAGGTGAAGTGTGTGATATTTTGCATGTGAATTGCAGAATGGGATTTCAGGCAATAAACTGTTCAAAAAGTGGAGTTTAGCCTTTCTTTGTGCAATGTACATGGCACATTCCTACTTTTAAAAGCAATAATATGATGATCTAATTTCTTTGCACTTTTCCATTTGATACTGTAACAGAACTTCATGTGACATTTTTCATATACATCTCAAAGCTTTGCTTTGTAGTTTGCATTATTAAGGTCTTGCTGCCTTTGTTGTTTATCAGTCCCTCATACATGATGACTGAAGTGTGAATCATTTATTTATTTTATATAAATTCTTTTCTATATAAATTCTTTTATAAATTCTATTAAATCATCTTTAGAAGATGATTTAATCTGATTAACAGATAAATCTGAACAGTTATCACTGGAGTAACAGTTAATTGGAATGGCCATCAGCTGTCATTGCTCGTGATTTCAGTGAGATGTCAGGGCAAGCCACTCCATGCAAATTAACTTCCAGAAGGATGGCAGGCACTGAGCAGTCACATCACTTATAACCCTGAACCAAACAGCAATCTCTTGGCATTACCACCCTGAAGGAACCAACTGCTAAATGCTTTGTTTTCTGAAAATTTTTCTTTCTCTTTCCAGAACAAAAATATGGAGCTGGCATCTACTTTACAAAGAACCCGAGGAACCTGACCAAGGCTAAAGCTACATGGGAAATGGATTCTAAAATGTACGTGTTTGAGGCTGATGTAGTAACTGGCTCATACACTACAGGCCGCCCATCTTGTATTATGCCACCAGTAATGGACAAGAATACCCTTACATTATTCGACAGTTTAGTGGATAATTTGTATAGTCCTGAGATCTTTGTCATTTTCAATGGCTTTGCAGCCCTTCCACGGTATTTGCTGACTTGTTCCCCAGTGACTGAGAGGTATGTAGCTCCTGGAGGAAACAAGCAGGATCCTCAGTGGAAATAAAGCAGAACTGTAGCTATGGTGGAGACCCTCTGAAAGCAAAGTCTAGTGCTTAAATTTAAGAGGATGCTGAAAAGCACTCTGAAATATTAATGAACAAAAGAGTAAGTTAATAAGGAGATTAGGACAAATTTGCCTGTGACTGGATGCAGAGGGGAAAGCATCCAAAAATACAGTATAACATTTAGCATTAACATTTAACATACCTGGTCATTTACCTAATTCCTTAAAGTGATCTCAGCTTATGACTATATGCTTGATGTTTGTGTAGGCTGTCATTCTTCCACTGCATTTTCTTAATCTGAGATATTGCAGATGTCAGGGAAACACAAGAAATCTTGGTTGTGCCTTTTGAGTCAAGTTTTCTTTTGACTTAAGGTAGGAGAATGTAGTAGATGAGAGCTGTTTTCTACTTAGGGACGTGCTATTATATACAGTTTTAACAAACCTGAGACAATACTTCATGACTTCATACAATGGTTGCTGTACAGTTTTTATTAGTTACTTCAAGCACTGTTGATACACATAGTCAAAATAAAAAGTATGAATGTCACTATCTGTAAACTTGTATTTTTCTATAGTCTTAAGAATGTGATTTGTACTGTACATAAGCTTCAGATTTCTCAGCAGCATTCCATCTCTTTGAAAGGCTACAAAATAGTAGAAGAACTGGTTCAAGCTACAGCTTGAAATTATTTTTCAATTAATCTACCTTTACCAACATCTTTTAAAGATTACATTGTCAGCCTTGTAGCCAGGTATCCCCACATTGCTTCTGTAGTGACCTGAAGCAAATACACAGAAAAGCTCGGGAGCTGTTACAGTAATTCCAGTGTAAAAGGGGATTCAGTCCAGCACTTGGATACATGGAAACTTCCTCTAGTAAAGCCTGCTGATGGGGAGCAGTCTGATCTCTAAAACACAGATGAAATTAGCATTTAATAAAACTTTTCGAAATAATTTGTTAATGGATTCCCAGGATGCTTGTACTGCACCTGCAACTCCCGAACTAGTAGTTGTAGTGCTAGGAACAACTCACAAGTCCAAAAGAAATTAAGTTATAAAACTTTAATTCTGAGGTTACAAGTGGAAATTTTTTGAACCATTACAAAAGAAACTTTTAGATTATACATTCATATTTTGAGGTTTTTAAAAATTATTTTTAAGATTTAGCTATGCTTGCTCTTACAAAGGGTAGTTTTGTAGTGAGTCTCTAACACAAGAGCTTGTTCTCAAGAAATCCAAAGGTTGCTCTTAGAAATTATGCTGCAATTCTGAAAACAGAATTAGTCTATTCCTATTTTAACTATTCTATTAAACTAATCAATTGTTTTCCATTTCAGTTCCCTTTTTCCTCATATTTCTTGATTTACACATTACTGCTATGAAAACACATAGTTGTAGATTTAAGATTTGTTATCACTGAACAAAGGTAAGGTCTTATGTCAGCATGCTTCAAGAGATATAATTTTTAAAGGGGTTTCATGGCAGGAATTTTTTTTTCCTTCTCTTTTCATTTTAGAAAAGTCTCAGTAAAGAGTTTCTGAACTACAGCATCAGTTTTCAGAACATCTAAAGGAATATTATTTTTGGCACAATGTAACATCTTGCTCCTACTGGGAATAAAGAACAGCTTTCATAACTCAGTATTAATTTAACACTGTGACACAAATATTGGTAACTATGTATTTCATTATTAACTTTTCATTAACTTTGTCACTTCCCTTAACTGCATGTGAAAAGGTCTGTAGTCAGTTTAATAGAAAAAAATAATTCTAGAGAAAGCTTTTAACATCTTATTCCTGTGCCCAGTACAGGCTTTCTCTTCCTTTCACATACACGTACAGTTAAGGATTCAGTGTAATTGAATGTTTATCTTCCATTTTATTATAGCTTGATTTTTTCCTGATGTATAATTTCTGTTTCACCAGTGTTCTCCACACGGAGTGATATGCTATATATTCTAGATATATATAGCTTTTTTAAAAACTGGTGATGTAAGAGGTATACATAATTATTTTCATCTGGTCCCCAAAAAGAATAATTCTCTGTACAGAAACTAGAAAATAACCCAGCACAAACTAGATGTACCAAGTAGTACATATTAAAATAATTACCACAGTAATTGAAAATTCTTGATCTTAGTCCTACCATAATCAGTTAACCAGAGGCTATTCCACAGCCTCTGGGATTTCTCTGTTGTCCACAATAAGGGTATGAATAATTCCTTCCTTTCGTTTTCCACTACTGACAGCTTTAATGTAACAGCTGTGATCAGCAACAGTGAAGTGAGTTTCAGTCCCATCTTCCACAAATTCACCCTGGGAGAAAGGAGACAAGAAAAAAAAGATGTGATATTTTAATAAATGAAAAGGTTGAGTGCATCAATGTCAATATCACTTGCAGTTCCCACAGTTACAGGAGCTTCAGGTACCCGTGACAAATACTGCCCAAAAGCTGAGCAAAGCTGCTGAATCTCAGGCAGGGCTCTGTCAAGGTGCCCAGTTAAAGACTTGCGAGGATCAGATGATGATGAAAATTTCACACAATCAGAAATGGTAAAGTTGGAGTTTGTGAATCAATATTACTGATTCATGTCAGTAAACAAAACCAGAAAAGGCAGCATCCTGCCGAGTTGTGCTGCACAGCCAGTAGGTGCCACACAAACCTATGCTCAAGTGGCAGTGAAAGGTGAAGTATTTAGGATGCCTTCTACAGCAGATCCCTGAATCGAGTACAACAATTGTGTATCTTGGATACATGTCCTGCTGCAGTTCTGTAACTTACTGTTACAGATTTTGCCAGCATGGCTGTGTTTTTGTCATGATGTTTGTGACAGCAGAACAATCTCTGTGCTGCTCTAATGGAAGCACAGTTTGGCACCAAACCTGCACTCACAGCTTGCAAAGACAGCTCTGAGTGCTTTCAGTACATTATAGAAAAGGCTGAGCCATCAGGAGCAGAAGTCCTGATTTACTGAGAGAGGTTTCTTCCACTGATTACTAAGCAAACATTTGGTGAATCTTTTCATCCTACTCTCAGGTATAGCAGAACTGTTGATTTTACTATTTGTACTCATCCAGGGACTTCCTTGTAGCAGCAGTAACAACTTTGACACCCCCTAGTGAGAAAGCACATCCTTTCAAGGATGGGGAAGCCTATCTTGTGTGCATATTGAGAGCCATCATAAGCAGAAAGACACTAAACAGATTAAACCACCTAGCTGTCACCCTGCTCTAAAAACTAATGCAGATGTGATCAAGATAAAAGATTTTACTTGCTCCAATGAGGCTCTTAAGCCCTAACTATTAGGAACATTTCTAGATGGAAAAAAAACATAAGTCATAACAGATTACATGTGTTCAACTTTCAGTGACAACTATTAAAGCAGGTTTGCATGCAGTGGCTCTACACTCTGCATCAAACTCAAATCCTCCCCAATCCCCAGAAAGTTTTCTCCCTAAAAACTGTGCACAGCTGAATCAAATTCCTTTTGTTGTCTAAAAAGGGTAAAGAAATTTATCTTTAAACAAGCACTGAAATACTGCCTATTACAAAATTCAGTGAAGGTCATTTGGAGCAGACCAGGAGCGTCCTGGCTGCTCAGCCTCTTTGTAAAGGGAGATAATGTGCCCCTCTGGGGCTTATTCTGCCAAGCTTTGGTTACATATTCAGAGCCTGGGAAGAGCCTTTTGGAAAGGATCACATACCGCTGTTTCCATCTTTTGACCGTTGCACCACACATCCATAGTGTCCTTTTCTGTGAAGGAAAAGGAAAACGAGGTAGAACAAGGTATTTTCTTCGCCCTACAAAGAAGGATCTAGGGATTTAAAAAATCTACTGTTGAATTTTACTTTCAATTCCCAAAAGAAGTTCCTAAGTAGCCGCTGTACCTGAGCTACAGGTTTTGTTCCCACACTGGAGACAGAGGAGGCTCTGTCATCAACTTTTGCTTTGAAGATACATTTTTACCCCTCCTAGCCCTGGCTATTAACACTGTGTTGTTCTGAATAGTGTCAGAGATACTCTGACAGTCTTAAACTGAAAAAATTAAGACAGAAAAGTGATGTAATTTCTGCTAGTTATTTGAGTGCTGTTTATTCAATAAAGCTCTTTTTCCAAGTCAATTTAATTCAAAAGCAGCATTATTATCCATCAAACTGTATTCTTAACATCTTGAAAGCACCAAGTACCACTTTAAATATCAATCTTAGATTTTTTTTTTTGCATTTGAAACAGAATATTCTTTTACTTCTCCCAGCACATCCTCCTTAAATTACTTTGCTCTAGAATTCCCTTTACTGACACTGTGATTCACACAACATGAGCAGAGAGCTGAACCTTGCTTGCCTTCCCAGTAAGCACAGGGAGATTAAAATTCTGTGAAGAGACTTATCTGTTTCTGGCACTAAAACTGTCTTTCTTCATTGCTCCCCTTCATCTTAGGGCAGTTCATTCTGTCCTGAGGTTTAAGAAGAAATCATAGTTTGAGATCGCTTGTCTCCAGCTCTAACCATACAGCAATGCCCAAGAGGAAGTTTTCCCAGTAGATGCCATGGACAAATTCCTCAAGGGATCCCTTCCTCCCACCTGCTTGTAATGTAACTGGGAAAGGGGGCGCAGACGAGAAGCAATGTAGTGCCTTGCTATTAAGAAAGTGAAAGAACATCACTGGAAGGTTTTAGTTTAAGTTTGTAGATAAGAAGTGATGCAGAAAAAAGGATGCTCATCAATCTGTCAAAAATGTGGAATAACATTGTTGCACTTCAGATAAAGACTTCTTAACCATGGCTGATGATTTTTGAAAGGAAAGCCTGGTTACCTGCTGCACAAACTTAGACACACATGAGGTTTGATCACAAAGCAGGTAAAACTTCTGTAAAAGGCTTCATCTGGAGAACTGCCTTGCTAGGGCAGCAGTAATGCCTCCCAATTTTTTTTAAATTTTTCCCCCCAAATCTAACCATGCTGCTATAGGCTCACATGTGTATAACAAGAGCATTATTTTTCAGACTGTCTTTGGCATCTCATTCCAAACTTCCACATCCCCCAGGACTTTATACTGCATCAGAACTACCCACTGAACTGTGCTTTCTGTTAATTACCAGTTTTTAAATGCATACAAATTTATTCAAAGGCAGCAACATGTAGTCACTCAATGTTTACTTACCTAGAACAATTCTATAGTCTGTACCTCCCAAGTTCAATATCCAAGTATTGGTTGTTTTTAACCTGTTCTCTATATACTGCTTGAGACTCTTTCCATTGATCTCCAAAGTATATTCATATGCAAAGCCACTGACTGCATCAATGTTAATAGCAGCTTTAGTTTTAGTAGCTCCAACAGTGAATGTTTCTTTACCCACTAATTTAAACATCCATTCTCTTCTTATTTCTTCCTATAGGAAAAAAAAAAGACAGTGGGTATTAATTGAAAAACCTGAGTGCATGTTTTAA